GCCCTCAATCCGTGAAGCTTTTGCAAATGTTCAAAACGAGTGTGGGCGGCGCCAAAGCAAAAACCACATTTCGGAAACGACCCGCCCTCCATCTGTGAATATGTTGCCACTGCTCCAGCTTCAGACTCATATGTGGTGAGGAAGTGCGAAACGCCTGGCCCACCCTAACAACTGGCCTCGGGGTGCGACAGGGAGAGGCGATCTATAAGGAGAACGCATGCAAAGGAGAAGAGAGGCCGCTCGTAGAACAATGGGGCTCCGTCGCAGGGGGGTGGGGCAAGGAAGGCCGCCACGCACACACACACACACGCACTCATATATATATATATAGATATATAGATATCGAATATTTGCCTATCTAACAGTATAATTATACATATGTATGTGTAAACATATATATATATATAAGCTCAAATACACCGCTTCTATATATAACTATGTATATATACATATATATATATACAGTCACCCAGCCCGCGGATGGGACCACTTTGGGCCACGACGCTGATGCGGCGCGGCAGTACTGGTTGCGCGGTTGCGTTGGGCCCCCCACGGGCGCTCCGTAGGTCACTCTAGCCCACGGTGACTCTTACGTGTAGTCGGCTGCCCGTGGCTCCAGGCTGCCAGCGCAGCCCGGCGAAGGAGAGGGGGATGACGCGCGAAGCGAGCAGGCGACGGCTCCCGCGCTAGACAACCGCCCAGGACAACCGACAACGCTCACACACTTTCGAACCTCGAACATCGCAACCCCGCTCGGTGCCCTATCCCTTCCTGAGCCTATCCCCTCCTGACGCCTGAGGCCGCCCTTGCCCAGTAGGGTCAAATCGGGCGCGTCCCCCTACATGCGGATTTTTCGGCGAACAATTCATCAAAATCCCCCCAAAATGCCCCCAAATGGTCAAAAAGTAACCAATTACTCCGACGGAAGAACCCCACATAAGAATCCTCTGGGCGAATCTGGAAAAAGCCATCGCCGTCGCCCTCGTGGTTGGTGAGGCGTCCTGGCTGTCTCTTCTGCGTATATTTCCTCTCGCCTTGGCGCGGGCCCCCCTCCCACTCCTTACGTTGTCCCCATCCTCGCCCCCCTGTTTGTTCCGCGCCCCGCCACCTCCTCCCTTTCCTGTTGCATGAGCGCGCATGTCGATGTTCCTCGGCGCCGTCGCCGCCACGGCCAGCACAGGCGCGTTCTCTACTGGTCACGTCGCGCAGCCGCTGGGACAACCCCGCGGGCCAGGCTGTCGGGGCAACCCCGCGAGCCGTCGGCGCGCAAGACCAAGCCGCTGGGACAACCCCGCGGGCTTCGAGCGAGGCGCAGCCGCGCTCAGGCGGAAGGCAGCACGAAGCCCAGCTCTGCCGCGAGCTGCTTCGCCTCCGCCCTGGACAAAACCGCTCTCTTGTCGAACTCCAGGAGCGCCTTCCGCAGGGGCGCCGGCGGCCCGCACTCCAGGAACTCTCGCGGCGGCGGCCGCAGGATCAGCATGTTCCGCATGCACGTGGCGCGGGAGAACATGACGTAGAGGTGCAGCCACCACTGCTCGTCCGACATGCCCGTGCGGCCAGCGTCCTCGTCTCTCGCGCAGTCGATGGTGACGCCCTTGCGCAGCGTCTGGCCCTGCGACAGCGTGGAGGTCAGGTAGGACGCGTGCGTCAGGGTGAACCCCGAGCGGCGCACGCTGTGCGCCCCCGAGCTCTGCCATGTGAACTCCCTTTCGCTGGGCCTGAACATCAGCAAGCTCCGCGCCCGCGCCTCGGCCTGGCCGTCGTCGTCGGCGCCTTCGGCGCCCTGTCGCAGCACCTCGGCGACCTCCTGGTAGATCGGAGACTCCTTGAAGCCGTGCACCTGCAGCCAGATTCCCTGCGGTAGGAAGCGGGGGCGAAAGAGCTGGCCTGCCGAGCACTCCTCGTAGCGCTGCTCGTCCTCGTGGTGGAACTCGAAGGACACGATGGTGGCCCGCTGCTCCTGCACGAGCCCCAACTTCTTCTTCAGCTCCTCCTGCGCTGCCGTGAACCGCACCTCCATGCCGACGTGGGCCGGCAAAACGCCGTGGATGTCCCCCGTCTTGTGCATGTTCGGGACGTTCAGGAGGCGCCGACCCGCGTCGGGCTCGTTTGTTGCATCCAAAATGTAGCCTGGGAACTGCGTTCTGGCAGCGCGAGAACCCAACATCGACGACAATTACAAGTTTTGGATGACCCGCTCGGATTACCATCTGCGGGCCCCATAGGGAGGGGGCTCCCGCCTGAGCCTTCCTCAGAATTCACTCACCGACGAGGCTCCCGCCTGAGACTTCCTCCAAATTCAGGCTTGAGGAGCCCAGAAGTGACGACAGTTACAGGTTTCCGATGACCCGCTCGGATTACCAACATGATCTGCGGGCCCCATAGGGAGGGAGCTCCCGCCTGAGACTTCCTCCCAATTCACTCACAGACGAGGCTCCCGCCTGAGACTTCCTCCATTTTCAGGCTTGACGAGCCCAAAAGTGACGACAGTTACAGGTTTCCGATGACCCGCTCGGATTACCAACATGATCTGCGGGCCCCATAGGGAGGGGGCTCCCGCCTGAGACTTCCTCACAATTTACTCAACGACGAGGCTCCCGCATGAGACTTCCTCCAAATTCAGGCTTGAGGAGCCCAAAAGTGACGACAGTTACAAGTTTCCGATGACGCGCTCGGATTACCAACATGATCTGCGGGCCCCATAGGGAGGGAGCTCCCGCCTGAGACTTCCTCCCAGTTCACTCACAGACGAGGCTCCCGCCTGAAACTTCCTCCCAATTCACTCACAGACGAGGCTCCAGCCTGAGACTTCCTCCATTTTCAAGCTTGACGAGCCCAAAAGTGACGACAGTTACAGGTTTCCGATGACCCGCTCGGATTACCAACATGATCTGCGGGCCCCATAGGGAGGGGGCTCCCGCCTGAGACTTCCTCACAATTTACTCAACGATGATGAGGATGAGGATGATGAGTGAAGATGAGTGGTGAAGATGATGATTGATTGTGAGTGGTGGTGGCGATGATGATGTTAGAATGAGGATGATGCCGATGCCGATGATGATGATGATGTTCGTGAGCGTGTGAGAGAGTGCGAGTGATGATGATGATGAGTATGTGAGTGACTAAGCATGTGAGAGAGCATCATCGATGATGCTGATGAGGTTGATGATGAGAGAGTGTGAGTGAGTGTGAGTGGGTGTGTGTGTGTGTGTGTGTTCCTGTCCTGTTCCTGCGCGGGGTGTCCAGAGAAAACAAGAACCCCACTTTGGATGTGGGGAAAAAAGTAGTCCCCAGACTATTTTTTGACTATTTTTGATAATCCCCCTGTAGAGGGACAGGCCCGACTTAACATTGGGGCACGGTGAGGAGGCCATGGCCTCAATACGTGGGCGGAGTCGCGTGGCCCCGGCAGGGGCACCAGAGCGCCGAGACTCGGGCGATGAGGAGCACGACATGCCAGGCCTGAAGCGAAGTCACTGGCACGGCAGCTCGCAGAACAAAAAAAACGCGACGCAGACACAACACTGAGGAAGCACGAAATTTACTCGAAACACGAACCGCAACGTCACGCAGTGGATCCTTCTACCCTGTGCGGGAAGGAGGGAGGCCCGCAGCAAAAAAGAAGAGGCCCCACGAAGAGGAGGCGCGGAACTGAGCGGGCGCCGTGTGGGCTGCCCGGGCGGCCTGCGCCAGGGCCAGCGCCGCCTGCCAGAGGGCCCTCCTGCCCAGCTCGCTCAGCGACTTCTTAGTCTCCTGCCGGCAACTCGCACGAGCCAGAGGATGACTACCGACCAAGCCACCCCAACCCAACCCGAAGACCCAAATGTCGGGTTGGAGGGGGTTATGGGCTCCGCATGTGTTTTCGTCGATGTTCCCCGACCCGCCCCCACTAGAAACGGAGGGCAAATTGGGGCCTTCGGGTTGGGCTGGGGTGGCTTGGTGGGTGGTGCGGGGAGGAGAAGGCACGGCGAGGGCATGGCATAAGATTGTGGATGCCACGGCAATGGACACCCTATCAGTGCTATCATCGAATTGAACATGTGTTGAACATGTAGGAGAATGTCAAGAACATTAACAAATGTTCTCTTTTCCATTTCAAACAGTTTTGACACGTGTTCAAGACATCTGGAAATTATTTGGCAACATGCTTCCTCTCCACTGATCGTTCTCCACAAGGATAAGACAATAAAAGCATGGGAGGATTTTGGTTCTTCTCGGCTGCGATCGCGCCGCCGAAGCTCCGAGAGGGGGGGGGCCCAGGCTGCCGGGGCCCGCGCTCTGGGCGGCCCGGCCCGGCCCAGCTGGGGCAGCGTGCAGATTCGCCACCCTGCCCACCAAGACCACGCCCAGTGTCTCAGGTCGGGCATGTCCCCCTGCAGGCAGATGCTGGGCGAAAGTTTGAAAAAATATCAAAACACATTAAAAGCGTGTATACCTCATAAGAGTTATTTATTTATTGATTTCTGAATATATATATATATATATATATATATATATATATATATAAGAAAACCAAAAACGAAACGCCGCCCCCCTTGCGGGGCCTCCAGGCTGCGAGGGCGAAGATTGCAGCTCCATGTTCCAGTTGCAGCCTCCAGTTTCCACGGTTGCATGGCTGCTTTCTGCTACCTGTTAATTGTAACTGTCCGCGCGAAGGGAAGGAGCCCCAAACGGGACTTTGTGCCACGCCCTGGGAGAGCTCTCAGAATTCCTGGGGGGACGTGGGACACGTAAACACACATGGTATTCGCGTCCCCGAAACCAAACTCCTTCCAAACTTACACCAGATTCGCGTCCCCAAGGTCAAAAACCCTAATAAAGTATACAATATTCGCATCCCCGAAGCCACAATCCCTGGTAAATTATACAATAATCGCATCCCCGAAATTATAAACACCTTTGTGCATTTAGCGATATTCGCGCTTCCGAGACCATAGAACCCATATAAACTATGTCAGATTCGCGTCCCCGACTAGTACATTACGCGATGCTCGCGCGTCCCCAATGCTATACAACCTCGTAACTATGAGATGGCACTTACCAATTGCCCTAGGTTCCAACATTGTTTCACGACGGCGCCGAGAAAAGATAACATAGCTCTGGCATGCCCCCATTCTGATTGAAAGGAGCCGGCGGCGAAGCCCTTCTAGTCGAAGAATCTTTGAATGTTCCTCCTGTAGAGGGGCATGCCCGACTTAACCATTGCAGCCGCTGGCGAAAGGCGAAGGCCCCCGCCTGCGTCCGGCGCGGGGGGAGGTCGCCTCCGGCGGCCTGCGGCGGCCCTATGCGGGCCTCAGCTGGTGCGGCCGCACACGCCCAGCATCGACGGCACCCCCGAGGCCAGGCAGAGGCTCCTCCCCACCGGGCCCTCCCAAGTCGGCCGCCTCATCAGGACGCGCGCGGGGCCGCGCCCGGGCTGCGTGGCCTCTCCCTCCGCGGGGGCGCCGGAGCCCGGGAGCTGCAGCGCCGCCAGCGCCGCGCCAGCCAGAGAGGCAGCCGCCGCCTCGCTGCCCACGCGCCCGGCGACGAGCGCCTGCGAGTGGAGGGGCGCTGCTGCGCCCGCGCTGTGCCACAGCGCCGCCGCCTCGTCGCGGATCGACCGCAGGCTGGCGCGCTGCACCGCTGTCACCGCCGCGGCATTGCCCAGCTTCGCCGGGACCCCGCGCCTGAGCTCCTCGAGGGCGAGGCGGCGCACCACCTCCAGCTCCGCGTCGCCGGACGGGCCCGTGTGGGAGGCGATCCGGCGGGCCACGTCTGCGGCGAAGCGGGGCAGAACGCCGCTGAAGCCCTGGAACGCCAGCCTCACCCCGGCGGAAGGGCAGCCGCCAGGGCCTTGCGGCTCGCTGCTGCTGGTGCCCGTGTCGAAAAATGCGACCTCCCAGCGGCAGCCAGCTAAGGCAGCGCCGTACAGTGGCCCCTCCAGGGCGCGCTGCAGCGAGAGCAGCCACATGCGGCCTGCGGCGCGGCTGTTGCTCCCGGCCATGTCAACGCGCGCGGCGGGCAGCCAGAGGGTCAGCGTGAGGAGGGGCAGGTCCCCCAGAGGCTGCACGACCTCAGCGAACTGACCCGAACTATAAAGGCAGCCCTGGACGTACCAGAGCACCGCGGGCGCGGGGGCGGAGCCGCCGGGTGCCTCGCGCGAGATCAGCCGCGGCCTGCAGGGGGGCAGCCACATGACGGCGGGCATGGCACCGCCGGGGTCGGCCTCCGAGAAGGGCGTCTCCAGCGCCGCCGCGAGCTCGGGCGGCAGCTCGGGCGCCTGCGGCGGTGGCTCGCCCCTCGTCAGGTACGGGTTCGGCGGCGGCGGGAGCCACCACGGTGCTGGCGTCCTGCTGCTGCGCGCCCAGTCGCCCCAGAGCGCCTCCTCTGGCGCGAGCTCCGCGTAGCGGACGCCGAGGAAGGGGTCCTCGCTGGGCACCGCGGCGCCCTCCGGCGGCGCGCCCGACACGACGCACCGCGCGCGCTCGGCGCCCAGCAGTCCCAGCAGCCGCGCGGCCTCGTCGGCCACGGCGCCAGCCAGCTCGCCCGAGGGGGCCAGGGCGGCCTCCCAGGCGCCCGGCCGCAGGAAGAGCCGCCTGGCCGCGACGAAGGCCTCGGGCGCAGGCGCCGTGCGCATGTCGTTGGCGAGCTCGAGCGCGGTGGGCGGCCTGTCGGGGTACCTCCAGCTGACCTGGGCTAGGAGCGACACCTCCTCCGCGGCGTCGCGGAGGAAGTCCCGCCGGTCCGGCCCGGAGGTCCACCTCCGCCGGAGGGCGGCCAGCACTGCGAAGACGGCCGCCGCGACCTCCCTCCAGCGAGCCGCGCCCGCCCTGGACAGCTTGATCTTGACCTCCCAGAGCGCGAAGCCGGCCTCGGTGGCGAGCGGGGTGCGCGCCGAGACCTTCGGGCCTGCAAAGTCCGGCACCCAGCCCTTGCTCTCCAGCCAGTCGGTCAGCGAGCCGTCGCCCTGGTAGGCCACGACGTGCGACAGCAGGACGTCGGGCTTGGCGGCCCGGAAGGCGGCGGCGTCCAGCGAGCCTTCGCCCTGGAAGGGGACGCTCCAGGTCAGGGAGAGCGTCGGCTGCCCCTCCAGCAGGAAGACCGGGGGCGGCCTCCCGCCCGGCAGGGCCGGCAGCGGGTCCGCCAGCCCAGAGCTGCGGCGGAGCTCCCTCTCCGCGCTGCCCCCGCTCGAGGGGAAGTTGCCGAACGCCGCGGCGGCCGCCACCTCGATGGCGTTGAGCGGCACGGGGCCCACGACCGCGAGCGTGGCGCCACCGCTCGTGAAGCCCTCGCGGAAGAGCTTCGCGGCGCGGGCGCCCAGCGTCCTCATCCGCCCCTCGATCACGTCCCAGGCGAAGGCCCCGTCCTTCGCCGCGGGCAGCAGCGTCTTCACGGAGCCCGGCCCGAACTCGCGCATGGGGTGCCCGGGCGCTGCTTGGCGCCGGAGCAGCTGCAGGTAGCGCACCCCCGCAGACTGCGCTCCGCCCCGGATCTCCTCGTCCACGCGCTCCACCTCCCGCTCGACGGCCTCGGGGAAGAAGCGCTCGGCCGCCACGACGTCCCCGACGCCCGGGCTCAGCGCGTAGCCGAAGCGCGCCAGGCCCTCGCTCCACTCCGCGGCGGGCAGGGTGACGAAGTAGGAGGAGGAGTCGAAGCCAGTGTAGCCGTTGACGTCGCCCTCCCGCTCCTCGATCCACGGGCCCAGCGGGCTCGTCTCGTTCGGTCCCGGGCCGGACAGCAGCAGGTGCTCGGTGAGGTGGGCCAGGCCAGAGCTGCCCTCTGGGTCGTCGAACTGGCCCACGGCGGCCGTGAATGCCACCTCGAAGCGCTCGGCGCTCAGGTCCTCCACCAGCAGCGCCCGCAGCCCGTTGCCGAGCTCGCAGGCCCGGTAGGTCCGGGGCTTCAGCCACGGGGAGGTCGCGGAGCCGCGGGGCGCGAGCACCTCTTGGCGGCGCGCACAGGAGGCGTGAGGGCTTCTTTGAAGGAGGTCGCTTGTCACTGCAACTATAGATAGGGCCCGCGCTTTCTGAGAAGCAGGGGTGCTCCTGTAAGAAGCCTTCCCCCCCCCCTGGCCCACTACCCCCCTCTGCGCGCGGCCGAACCTCGCCCAGGCGGCGCACGCTGGGCTGGGCCGCAGGCCTCCCCGGCGTGGCCTCGGCCACGGCAGCGGCGCTGCCCGGGGCGCCCAGGCCGACCAGCGAGGCGGCGACGCCGCCGCCGAGGAAGGAGCGCCGCGGCGGGTCGCCGCGCGCAGCCGGCGGGCCCCGCGCCGCACGGCCGGCGGGGCCAGCGCAGCGCCGGCCGGGGGGGCCTCGGCGGTCCCTCGCGGGGCGCGCCGCCGCGCCAGAGGCCGCCGCGGCGGGCCGCGCCGCGCACGCGCGCGGGCGCCAGAGCGCGGCGGCCGCCAGGCAGAGCCCCAGCAGCGGCAGCAGGACCTGACTGCCGCGGTGGCCGCCGCCGCCGCCACGGCCCGGGGCCATGCGCGGGCCCGCGTCGCCAGCCGGGCCCACCCAACCCTCGCGCGGCGCCCTGCCTGGCCTTGAAACAGATTGGCTAGATACGGAGAAGGACGCAGGAGGGGAGGTGGCCCAGACAGGATCGCGTCGTGAAGAAGTCGGGACGGCTCGTTTTTCGCTACCTTCGGCCCCAAGGGGGCTGGGCCCCGGGACCGTCAACACAACAGCTCGGGATGCCAAGCCAGCCCCGGGGGAAGGGGCCGGACTTCTGGGGCCGTCGTCCTGACAAAATCAGGGCGTCGCATGTCTGGGGAAGGACGAGGAGCGAGCGAGCGAGCGAGCGAGCGAGCCACCAGTGCGGAGCATCCTCTAGGCCTATCGTAAGCTGGGCAGGGGATGCCGTGAACTCTCTCTCTCTCTCTATATATATATATATATATATGTACGGTGAGGGCGTTGGTCGGAGCTCTACTGGCCCGGGTCAATCCAAACCAGGGCCAGTCGGGCTTTGCAAGATCCTGCTAGATCCTGCAGAAGCCTGCAAGATCCTGCACGCAAGCCTGGGCCAATGCACCCCCTGCCCTTTAGGTTCCCTCACGATCCGGCGCTTTGACTGACCCACATTTGCACCGACCCCCGCTTCTTGAGCCCCGAGCCGTGCAAGGAGCCCTGGGGAGCTGGTGGGGCTCCAATAGTGGACTGGCCATGGATGCCAGTGCCACCCTCAGCAAGTAAGGAACCCCCCAAGGGTCTGAAACGTCCTCGGCACATGCCTTAACCGAAGCCCCCAACCGTGACGATACCTGTACAGTCCAAAACCCTAAGAAGGACGCGCGGCAAGGACGCAAGACCCTTGGAAGCCGAAGTTGGGCTTTTTGGGGGCGGCGGACGACGAAAACCTCAAGGACGCGAGAGCAAGGAAGAGAGCAAGGACGCAAGGGTACCCTGAGCAAAGTCGCGCGTCCTTGTTAGGGTTTTTGACTCTACCCTTCCCTGCGCTTTCACTCGCCATCGCTTGGACGTCCATTCCCTGTGCTTTTGTCGGTTTCGTGCGTGGTTTTTTTCGCCACATGATCAAGGATGCTCCTCGATGGTCCTCCCCGAGAAAAAATCCGCACGTCCGAGCGATGCCAGGAGGGACGCCAGGGGTACCCCGAGCAACGTCGCGCGTCCCTGTTCGGGTTTTTGGCCCTGCCCCGCCCGGCGCTTTCAACGAGAGTGGTGGAACGGATCTCCCGATGAGAGCCGCACGGCCGCCCCCGCCCTCCGTGCTCCGAGGTGTGCGCGCGCCGCGTGCTCTCTCGGCCTCGGGCCCTCCTCCCCTCCTTCCCTCGGGGGGGGGGTCCCGGAGCGGAGGCCCGGAGCTGCGAGCCCTGGCTCAGGGGCTCTCGGGCGGTGTGTGTGTGTGTGTGCTGATGTCAGCGTGTGGTTCACAAATCCGTGGGGAGCGCGGTTTTTTCATCCTAGTGGAGTCCGAAGCTGAGAGCCCTGGCTCAGGGGCTCTCGGGCGGGGTGTGTGTGTGTGTGTGTGTGCTGATGTCAGCTTGTGGTTCACAAATCCGTGGGGAGCGCGGTTTTTCATCCTAGTGGAGTCCGAAGCTGAGAGCCCTGGCTCAGGGGTTCTCAGGCGGTGTGTGTGTGTGTGTGTGTCTTCATGTCAGCTTGTGATTCACAATTCCGTGGCGAGCGCGTTTTTTTTTTTTTTTTTTTTTTTTTTTTTTTTTTTTTTTTTTTTTTTTTTTTTTTTTTTTTTTTTTTTTTTTTTTTTTTTTTTTAAAAAAAAAAAAAAAGTTCCTCTGCTCGGGCGAATCGCGGGGTAGCGCCCGCCAGGTATGACAATCAACGGGGCGGCGACGGGGATTAGCGCCGACGCCTGGCCGCCAACGAGGGGCAAGAGGGGGGTGTCTGAAGGGGCCCTGGGACACACAAATGAATACATACAAAGGACAGAACTCCCCATATGTTCTAATACTTCCTGGGTTTTTGTTTCCCCCCCCCACTTCCCATATTTTCCCATGTTTTCTGGGGAATCGACGGTTAAGTGTGTCCGTGTGTTTCCGCCCCCCACCCCCCCCCCTCGCCCCCCCCCCCTCCCCCCCCCCCCCCCCCCCCGCGCGTTTGGAGGCATTGCCCCCCGGAGCGGGCGCGTCCCACTTGGGCGCGGAGCGCCCGCCCGGGGCCACCACGGGGGGTCGGTGCGGTGCCCGTCTCTTGGGGCCTTCCCCGCTCCGCCCTCTCTTGGCGGCGAGCGAGGGGGGGCAGTGCGGAGGAGAGGGCCTCCTTAGAGAAGGCGGCGGGACTTCTCAGAAACCATCGCGCGTTCCGAGAAGTTTTCTGTGTCTTCGGGGAGCGCTCAGAGAACTTCTCAGACGGCCCGGGGACTTCCGAGCCTTCTGAGAAGGCGCGCCCCTTCTGATTCCCCCCCTCGCTCGCCGCCGACTTTCCTCGCCCCCCCCTCCTGCTGCTCGCGGTGGCTCGTACGTCTACAGCCAAAGACAGGATTCCGACAGTTATCAGTTGAGAAAAAGCTGGGCCAGCTTTGCAGAAGTTTCTCAAAGGAAACGCTGGGCCAGCTTGTGGAGCCAGGAACGTACACTACTCACTTCTAGGATCCAAGGCTACCAATCCCCTTCAAGAAAGTGAGCCAGCTTTCCGGCAAGTTGCTTAAGAAACGCTGGGCCAGCTTTTCGGGGGGAGGTTCCTTAGTCACAAGCGGGACCGCATTCCCTGTGCATGTCTCCGTGTTGTGCGTGCATCTTTTCGCGAGATGGACAACCGTGCTCCTCGATGGTCCTTGACGGGGTAAAACAAAAATCGCACGCCCGAGCGATGCCAAGGCTGCTGCTGGCAGGGTGGGGAAGGAGAGCGCGCGCCCAGCAAGAGGGGGCGGGGCCCGCGCTCCTCTCTCGGCCGTCGTCGTCTTCGCGAGCATCGATCGCAAGCGGCCTGACTGTCACTTCGCGGTTTCGGGCGGGTCGCCCTCGCCGCCACGGCTGGACTCGCAAATTTGGCCACCAGAACCGGGCCGCCGTCCAGGGCAAGCCAAGGCCAGCAGTTTCACGAGGCACACTCTGGCCCGGAGGCGGAAGGAACCCCAACAGCATTCCGTCGAGGAGGAGGAGGAGGAGGAGGAGGAGGAGGAGGAGGAGGAGGAGGAGGAGTGTTCTACTTGTTGGGCCCTCGGGGAGGCCCTTCTCATCACTGCTGGACTCGCCTGTGAATTCTAGCCAGAGCGCACCCTGGGAGAGGTCTGGGGAGTCGCGGATCGGTACCCCAGGAGAGCCCAGAATCGAATCGATAAGTCGGATCGGCGATCGAAATGAGTCGGATCGGCGGAAATCGGCAGCCGAGTCGGGAAATGTCGAATCGGCGGAAATCGGCAGGTTGAGAAATAGGGACCCAAATCGGAATCCAAAATCAAATCGAATCGGAATCGGAAACCATCGAAATCAAATCGGATCGAATCGGGGGAATCGAGACTAGCCCTGGTACCCTCCTGCGCCCCCAGCAAGAAGTGACCCTGGGCAACGAGCGGCCCTTCGTGCACAAATTGCCGATCGCTGCCAGCGATGCGGCAGCCACGGCCTGCGATCGCTTGGGTCTGGCCCTCCTCCTCCCCTCCTCCTCCTCCTCCTCCTCCTCCTCCTCCTCCTCCTCCTCCTCCTCCTCCTCCTCCTCCTCCTACTCCCCGAGAACCCTGGGGGTACCTTGGGCCAGGGGTACTTTTAGCAACACCCGAGGATTGAGAGGATGAAGGGCATGAGCAATAGCATCCGGATGCCCTGAACGGTACCTTCGGCCGTCTACGGGCAATAGTATCCCCACTTCTCCCGGCCCCATCCTCCAAACCCAATATGTTAAGAGGCAACTACTGGGAGGTGTTTCCGTCGGAAAGATTGAAAAATATTGCGCCCCATTGGGGGGCTGTTACGCTGGAGTGGGCCTCGGATTAAGATTAAGCCGAATTGAGCGAGATTGAGCGGGATTGAGCCCGATTTCGGACCAGGGCAAAATCAGAACTTGACCTCCCAGGAGTTGCATCCGAACAAGAAGTGTCTTCCTGACCCAGGGAGGGCGGGAGAACGCCAGGGACCATGGCTGCCCTGGGGGCATGCCGGGAGGACCGCCCGGCGATGCCTCGACGGGGGGCCCTCCTGGCGCCCCCCTGCGAGCCGCGCACCCGGAAGGTCGCTCCCGGGGGGGGGGCCCGCCAAGTGGCACCACCACCGGTTGGGCGTCGCTGGATTACCCACCGGTCGGAAGAGGCAGGAGGAAGCACGAGGTAGGAAGGCGTTGGGAGCAGAGTGGGCTTCCGCTCGCCTCCGGAAGAGGAGGGAGGAGCGAAAACCGCTCGACTCCTGAAGCAGGAAGGCGCTCAAAAGCAGATTGGAATTTGGGGAAAAAACAAGCATACATACTGTCAACGACCGATGGGTCATTGGGGGGGGTGGATGGGGGGGGGAAAAGAGGTGCACTTCTCGGTCCCTAGAGGCCCCCTCTTGGAACCCATGGGGCCCCTCTAGGGGCCCTACAGGGCCCCTTTTCTGCAGCCCTCGCCGAGCATCGTTTCGCCAATCCCCATCCCCAGCGGCGTGGCCTGGGCCCCGCTGGCCGATGTACCCCCCCAGATAGAGGTATAGGTCGTTCCCTTTGGGTTTCAAAGGGTGTATCCCCAACTGGGTGGGTAATTTGGTGCGGGTCTCGAAGGGGATGGGGATG